ACGGAACGCGAGGCGGCGAAGACCGAGGAGAGCGTCAGGGAGATATGTAAAGATATCACGCGGTTAGATCGGGCGAAGAATCACCTCACGGGAGCGATCACGACTCTGCGGCGTCTGTCGATGTTCGTGAGCGGGATGGAGCAGCTGGAGCTGTTCGCGTTGCGAAGGCAGTACGGGGACGCGGCGAATCTGTTGCAGGCGGCGGCGCAGCTTTCGACGCATTTCGAGGCGTACTGCGAGATTGTGAAGATAAAAGAACTGCAGGATAAGTATCGTGCGGTGAAGCAGCAGCTGCGAGCGGCGGTGTTCGATGATTTTCACACGACGTGGGTGCCGCACGTGATGGAGTCGGACGGTGGGGCGCAAAAGAAATTGCGCGACGCATGTCTCGTCGTCGACGCCCTGGAGCCGAGCGTCAGGGAGGAACTCGTTGGGAATCTGACGAACAGAGAACTCACGAATTACGCCTCAGTTTTCAGCGCGCACGAGGACGGGGACTTTTTGGGACGCGTCGCGAGACGATACGACTGGATCACGCGACAGTTGAACTCAAAAGAGTCCATGTGGGCGGTGTTCCCGGCGCACTGGCGAGTGCCACAGCTTCTCAGCGTGTCTTTGTGCAAGCTCACGCGCGCGCAGCTCGCCGAGGCGCTCGACGCGCGCGGGCCTCACGATGTACAAAAGCTGTTGCACGCCATGCACTTGACCATCGAGTTTGAGCTTGAGCTTGACGAACGTTTCGGCAACGGAGATCGCGGAGAAGACGAGGAACTCGAGGGTGACAGCGCTAGTGCGTCGACGGTGCGACAAAAGTACGAGCGATCGGAGCGCGAGAAGCAGACGGGCGGGAGAATCCTTCCCATGGACTCCGCCACCGAGGCGGCGGCGACGTTTTTGTTCAGAGGGAGCGTTTCCTCGTGCTTCGAAGATCATCTCACCGAGTACGTGCAGCTCGAGCGGCGACAGATATTCGAGCACCTGAACGAAGCCATTAGGGCCGAGGCGTGGGTGGGTGACGAAACCAATCCAAACATTTTGGCGAGTTCAACGAGCGTCTTCTTGAACATCAAAAAGGTGTTCAAGCGATGCTCAAACTTGACGCGTGGAAAGACGCTCTTCGCCGTGCACCAGGTCTTCGTGCAAGTTCTCATCGCATACGCTAGGGCTCTTATCGACCGCGCGTCTCTCGCCGCTTCTATGGTGATGGATTCTCGCCGTCCGGAGGAGCAACGCGCCGCGGAGATCAAGTGCGTGTGTCTCATCGTGAACACGGCGGAGTATTGTAACTCCACCGTCGGTCCATTGGGTGAGTCCATGTCGAAGGCTTTGGAAGACAACTTTAAGCAAAAAGTGGACGTCGAGGACGTGGAAGACGCGTTCAGCACGGCGCTCGCCGAGGCGCTCAATAAACTCATCGCTCTGGTGGAAGGCAAATCGAACGTCATTCCTGGAATGCTTCGCGTGAACTGGGGTACGCTCGACGTCGTCGGTGACCAGAGCGAATACGTGGATATCTTTGAGCGCACGATCGCTCAGGCGTTACCCATCCTTCGATCATCCGTGAGTGACATTCACTACACGTTCTTTTGCGAAAAGGTTGCGTCGTCAATCGCGCCGAAACTGTACATCGCCATCTTCAAATGCAAGCGTTTCTCCGATACTGGTGCGCAGCAGCTCTTGCTAGACATGCACGCGGTGAAGACGATATTATTGTCGCTCCCATCCGAGGGTACGGCGTCGGCGACGACGAGTTACGCGAAGATGATCGCGCGAGAGATGGGCAAAGTCGAGGCGTTGCTCAAGGTAATCCTCTCCCCGCGAGAGGGTCTCGCCGAAACCTTCAAGGCGCTCCTCCCCTTCAACGCCAACGCCGTGGACTTCAAAGCAATATGCGAGCTCAAGGGATTGAAGAAGAGCGAGATCGCGGAGCCCCCGTTCGGGCTCTTCGGCGCGAGCGCCGGAGCGCCCGCGAGCGCGAAACCGCTCGAGGACGTCGCCCAATCCCTCGTCTCGAGCGCCAAGCCCAAGCCCATGGACAACGTCACCGCGAAAATGTCCAGCATGTTCAAGGACTTCAAGCACGCCAACGCGCGTTAGCCTCGATGGGTGTGAATCGTACGTCCCCCCGCCCGTCTCGCCTCGCCCGCACTCCGCGCCATGGCGTCCTCCCGCGCCTTCATCGACGCCATCCGCGTCTGCCTCGCGCGCGACCCACACGCGCGGTACATCACCCTCGCCACCGTGGAGCGTCCCAACCGTACGCGCACCGCCGCCACCGCCGTCCCTCGCGCGCGCACCGTCGTCTTCGAAGGTTTCATCGACGACCCATCCGGCGTCCCCGCCCTCCTCATCAAGTGCTCCAGCGCCTCGGACAAGGTGCGGAACGCGATCTCACCCGAGTGCGAGGTCGCGTGGTGGTTCGAGCGATCGATGACGCAGTTTCGCCTGCGCGGGACGATCGCGTTTCTCGACGGTGACGCATTCATCGATTGCGATCACCCGAGCGACGCGCACGCGACGAGAGACGCCCTCGCGCGCGCGCGGGAACGGACGTGGAATAATTTATCACTCGCCGACCGCGGGCAGTTCTTCTGGAGCGACGGCGTGGAGGGCGAGGTGCGGGATGAGATACCGACGCACTTTTGCGTCGGCATGCTGCGCGTCGCAGAGGTCGACGCGCTGTGCCTCGCGGACGGCTCGCGACGGTCGTGGTGGCGAGAAAGTTTATCGAGCGAAACGTTCGAGCGCGCCGAGGGACGGGCGCCGCCGGTGCGGAGCGCGAGGGACGCGTGTTAGGTGATTCGTCGACGCGCGAGGCGCATGGACGGGCGAGGGCGTGGGCGGACGACGGCGACGTTCGCGGCGCGCGTGCGTGACGGGGGGAAGGGCGTGGATGTCGTTGATGTCGTGGACGCGCTCGAGCGCGCGGGAGGGGCGGAGACGGAGGCGAGAGCGGCGATGGAGGATGGGGATTTCGCCGAGGCGGCGGCGCGGTACGACGAGGCGCTCAAGACGCTCGCCTCGAGCGATGCGGTGGAATCGGCGCTCGAGTTACGGGCGGTGAGATTGCGGTTTTCGTGCTTCGTCGGTCTCGCGATGGCGTGCGCGGCGTTGGGGGAGCACGAGCGGGGGTTGGCGAACGCGCACGCGGCGTTCGGCGAACGCGCGTTCGACGAGGACGCGGAACGGACGCGCGAGTGCCTGGTGGCGAACGCTATGGCGCAGTGTGGACTCGGGAACGTCGGTGCGGGGGCGTTGTGCGTTGTGGAGGCGATGCGTCGCGGGCGGGAGGGTGATTTTGGAGGATTTCCGGAGGAGGCGACTCGCGAGGCGCGGCTCGAAACGAAGACGCGCTCGACGCCGCTGGACCGGTTCGTCATGTTGACGATGCGTTTGAATCGCACCGAGGAGGATCGCGCGCGGATCGAGGGAGCTTTAGATATGCTAGAGAGCGAGGGTTGGTGCGTGGACGCGCGAGACGAGAGCGGGTACAACGTTCTGTGGGGTGCGCTCGCGGGCGCGCGGGCGACGCGAGAAGCCGAAGGAACGGAGGCTGGCGAGGAAGTCACCCCAGTCGTTCGCATGCTCCTCGAACGCGGGGCGCGGGCGAATCAGATGTACGGGACGAGTGGAGACAGTTCGCTGCACATGGCTGTCGTGTCCGGCGTCGCAGGTGTGGTGGAGGCGGTATTGGAACACGGCGGCGACGTCAACGCGCGAGACGATCGCGGACGCACGGCGCTTCACGTCGCGTGCGAACGAAAGTTGGCCGACGACGAGCGACCTCGCGTCGTGGAGCTTCTGATCGCCGCGGGAGCTTCAAATATCAACGTTCGGGACGCGAACGGGCTCACACCCTTGCACGTCGCGTGTAAGCACGGAAACGACTCAATCGTGGAGACGCTTCTCGCGGCGGGCGCGGATTGGCGCGCGAGAATTCCGAGCGGTGAATCGCCCGTCATGTTGGCGTACACGCGCGCGAAAGGGTCGGGGGTGATTGCAGAGATTTTGAAATTCGTCGAATCTCTCGAGGGTGACGCCGCGGTCGTGGAGGAGACGGAGTTATTTCGTCGAGCGTCGGGCGCCAACGCGTCATCATCCCCGGCGGAGAGATGCGTGCGAGAAGACATTTCCCTCGTCAAGTGGTGCGCGCGCGAGCAAGTTCTTTCGGATACGCTTTCATCGATCGTAAATTGTGCGCCGTTGGGAAAGATCGTCATATTTACCGCGGATGCGTTCGATAGCGACGTCGCGCGCGCGGCGGCGACTCGAGCGTACATGGAATCGTGCGATTTCGAGCTCGACGACGCTGGTGAAACGAAATCACCCGCGAGCGTCGCCGTCGCCCTGTATCGTAAGTACGGCGACGTGCTATCGTCGTTCATTCGTTACAATCAGTCCATGTTTCCAATCTCGCTTCGCGAATCATTCGCGGATGAGAAGTACAACACGAACTTGCCTCTCGACGTTGTGGCGAGAGCGGTGTACGCGCAGAGTCGAGTCGCTGACGCGTCCGAGGTCGCCGTACCTTCGATGTTCTCGCCGTCAACGCTGCATTCGCCCATCTTCGTCGCTTTCGAGTCCATCATGGCGCAAACGGTCGAACCGTCGTTCGGTTTCGCCCCCTTCATCGTTGACAAGGCTCGAGCGTGGATGAGCGCCTCCGTGGATGCCTTGGTCGCCGTCACTCGCGGCGGCGCGTACGTCGCGGCGAGGGCAAAAGACGATATGAACATCCCGACCGAGGTCATCGTTTTGCGAGACGATGGAGCTGCCGCACCGGCGTGTTTCGTCGAGGACGCGGTGACGATGGACGAGAGCTCTTTTACGAAACTGAACGCGAACGGCGCGACGCTTCTCGTGGAGCTCGAACCGGGAGACGGACCGCGGGGCACCGCCTTACTCGAGCTCGCCGTCGACGCGTACGATGGAGACGTCGTGATCGTCGTCAACGCACGTCAGGACGAGGAAAAAACGCGAGCGATACTCAAATCTCGCGGTTTCGTCGAGCGCGAGACGAGGCGAGCGACGACGTTCACCGCGGCTGGGCGACCGTACGGATTTCACACGTATCGTAAAACCTAGAAAGAATTGATTCAATAGTTAGCTACGTAGACGACCCCCACGGCACGTCGATAAACCCAGGAGGGGCGTCGCACACCACGACGTCCGTCACCTCCCGCACGGTCTCACCCATGGCGCACGGCACCGTCGTCCGTATCAACCGTTTCCCATCCGCCGCCGCCGCGTACTCGTAAATCGCCCCCTGCTCAAACGCCCGTCCCAGCGCCACCATCGTCGCTCGTCCACGCGTTCTATCTTCAAACCCACACGCGAATCCATCCTCGCGCCAATCCATCGAGAACCCAAAGCTCTTCCACGTCGCCTTCGCGCCGCTCCGCGCGAGCGCCCGCGCGAGCGCCGCGTTCGCCTCGACGTTCATCCACCCCTCCCGCGCCCTTCCCATGGGATTATGCCCCGTGATCGCGAACACGGCCAACGTCGCGCACACCGCCGGGACGTCCCGTCGCTCGACGTCGTCGCCCGCGTCCGCGTCGACGGGTCGCAGGAAAATGGTGCCGACACCCGCGCCCGGGACATCGATCCATCCATCCCGCGAGCGTCCCCAGAGCGCGCCGAGCGCGCGCTCGCGCGCCGCGGACGTCGCGGACGTCCCGGACATCCCCCGCGTCGACGTCGCCCGCGTCGACGTCGCGCGCGCGCGCGCTCGGCGCGCGGCGTCCGCGGGGTCGCGGGGTCCCATAGTGTACGGCACGATACCCCATCCGTGCCCGCGGACCCGCGGTCGAGTGCGACGCGGACACACCGACGGGCATCCATACACGTATTGTGATACACATATGACGATCAAGACACCCATGGACGCCGCGCGCGCGGGGCGTCGTGAGACTTTTCCACCCATCGACGCCCGCGATCGCGTCTCGCGGGCCACGACCGGCGCGTCTCGCGTCCCGCACACGCGCGCGCGCGACCGCGAGCGTTCGCCCGCGCGTGCGATGCCGCCGAAGAAGCGCGCGACGGCGGAGGCGGCGGTGGAGAACGATGAGGAGGAAGAACTGCTGGATTACGACGACGTCGCGAACGCCGCGGGGACGAACGCGCCGGGCGACGCCGTGGACGACACCGCGGACGGAACGACGGCGAAGAAGGGGTACGTCGGGATTCACTCCACGGGATTCCGTGATTTCTTGTTGAAACCCGAGTTGCTGCGAGCGATCGTCGATTGCGGGTTCGAGCACCCGAGCGAGGTTCAACACGAGTGCATTCCGCAGGCGATCTTGGGGATGGACGTGCTGTGTCAGGCGAAGAGTGGGATGGGTAAGACGGCGGTGTTCGTCATCACCGTCCTGCAACAACTCGAACCGACGCACGGAGAGGTCGGGGCGGTGATTTTGTGTAACACGCGAGAGTTGGCGTATCAAATTTCGCACGAATTCGAGCGATTCTCGACGTTTCTCGGGGACGTGACGACGGCGGTCGTGTTCGGAGGGATTCCCATCAATCAACAGAGGGAACAATTGAAGTTGAACCCGCCGAACATCGTCGTCGGGACGCCGGGGAGGTTGAAGGCGCTCGCGAACGACGGGACGCTCAACCTGAAGAAGTGCGCGCACTTCGTCCTGGACGAGTGCGACAAGATGTTGGAAGAGCTCGACATGCGCTCGGACGTGCAGGAAATTTTCAAGGCAACACCGCACGACAAACAAGTGATGATGTTCACCGCGACGCTTTCCAAGGAGCTCCGCGCGTTGTGCAAGAAGTTTATGAATGATCCCATGGAGATCTTCGTCGACGACGAGACCAAGCTCACGCTTCACGGTTTGGTGCAGCACTACGTCAAGCTCGAGGAGGCGGAAAAGAACCGCAAGTTGAACGATCTGTTGGACTCCCTCATGTTCAACCAGGTCGTCATCTTCGTCTCGAGCGTATCGCGTTGCAAAGCCTTGGACAGACTCCTGCGAGAGTGCAACTTTCCGTCAATCGGCATTCACGGCGACATGAAGCAAGAGGAGCGTTTGGCGTGCTACAAGTCCTTCAAGGATGGCGACAAGCGTATCTTAGTCGCAACTGATCTCGTCGCTCGCGGGATCGACATCGAGCGCGTGAATATCGTGATCAACTACGATATGCCCTCCAGCGCGGACACGTACTTGCACCGCGTCGGTCGCGCCGGCCGCTTCGGTACGAAGGGCCTCGCCGTCACCTTCGTCGCCTCCTCCGAGGACACCGATGTCCTGGCTTCTGTGCACGAGCGCTTTGAGGTCAAGATCGAAGAGCTTCCGGACGAGATAGACCAATCCACGTACATGCCGAGCTAGGAGTACGACGGACGCGAATCGACGTCTTCTCACCGTCGTCGCTCGCCACGCTTCTCACCCCCGCTCGGGCGCGTTGAAACAAACAAACATAACAACTACTCATCACGCTTCGAGCACGCTCGATCCCAACCGTCGCATCGTTCTCGCGTCGCCGCGACTACACGTCGCGTTTGATCTTCGCCGCGCGCTCGCCGGGCGCGCCCGCGAACACCCTCACCCGCACAATCCGACTCGCCATGTCGCGAGACGGTCTCCTCGACGCCCCCATCGACGCATCATCGTCGTCCACCTTCCTCTCCCGCGTCGTCGCCGTCGTCTCGCCGTCTCGTCGCGGCCGTAACCGCCGCGTCGACGCTGAGGAAACGCAACGTTTGGGTGTTGAGCGATCGAGCGATGGATCATCTCTCGCCCGCGCGTACGGTGCGCACGACGATCACTCGAGCGACGCCTCGGACGTCGAAGCATTCGTCGATGCGTTGGAGAGCGCGAGCGATTCGGAACGCGTCGATGGATCGAGCGGACCGCGGGCGCGATGGGCGAGCGCGCCGGGACGCGGGTTGCGGCTCGCGAGCGCCGTCGCGTTGAGCGTCGTCGTCGTGTGCGCGCTGTTGTTTCGGTTGCTCGGGAACGATAGCGGCAATCTTGGGAACGGTGATGCTGCGAGCTCGGAGACGATGACTTGGACACGGAGAGACGCGGGCGCGTCGCCGGCGTCGCCGGGAGGGTGGCGGTTGCCGGAGGGACGCAAACGCGGGAAACAGTGGCACGCGAGTAAATACTCTTCCGAGAGTGGGTTCAAGAAACTGTCTTCATCGCTCTCGGTGCTCGGGACTTTGTCGTTTGGGAGACGCAAATCCGCGAGGATGGGATCTTTGGAAGACCGCCTGGCGAAGACTTGGGATCCGACAAAGATCAAGTTGCACGCCGGCGGTAGGCTTCCGGATACGTTTGACGTGCGGGAGAAGTGGCCGAAGTGCGCGGCACTCGTGAGCGAGGCGGTCGATCAGGGAGCGTGTGGAAGTTGTTGGGCCGTTGCGCCGGCAAAAGCGATGACGGACCGACTGTGCATCGCCACGAATGGAGCTGTGAACACGCACGTGTCTGCGATACAATTGCTCTCGTGTAACTCGCACTCGAACAGCGCGTACACGTACGACGAGAATCTGGCTGGTGGGTCGGGCGGGTGCATGGGTGGGTACCCAACGGAAGCGTATGAGACCGCGCACAGAGTTGGGGTGGTTTCCGGTGGCTTGAACGGCGATCAAGACACGTGCATGCCATATCCTTTCGCCCCGTGCCATCATCCGTGCGAGCCGAATCACAATGCGGTGTGTCCTCGTACGTGCCAGCGATCGGCAACGCAAACAGCCAATACAACTAGATACGCCGTGGGCCATCTCGTGCAGTGTGGCTTAAACGATTACGATTGCATGGCGAGCGAGATTTTTGAACGAGGACCGGTAACGACATTTGTCGGCGACGTCTACGACGAATTCTACCAGTACGAGAGAGGTGTGTACAAGCTTTCGAAGGATCCGGCCGCGCGCGGCAAGAATCACGGTGGTCACGTCATGGAAGTCATAGGATGGGGGAAATCCGCGGAGGGCGTTCGCTATTGGAAGGTGTACAACTCTTGGTTGAACTGGGGAGAGCGCGGATACGGCGAGATAGCAGTCGGCGAATTGTCAATCGGCGACAACGTCGAGGCTCCCGTGATGACTGGAGAACTCATGCATTCCGATACTTCATACGACAATTTGTAAAATACATCATCGAGCGTTGTGCGAGTAGAATTAGAGGGTGGTGCGCTAAACCAAAAAAATTGTATCCTTCAACGGCTTGACGCGAAAATTGAAATTTTCGGACTTCTGTAATCGTTCGACCAAGACATCGCCGCACGCAACGCTAGGCGTGAGACATCCGCCGCCTTCGGGCCAGTTCAAACGCGCGCGCTCACTCGGGATGGCGAAGCAGAGCGCGACTTCGTATGCGAGCGCAGCCGTGCCCTTATAACCGGGATCTGCGTTCTTGAATTCAAACTCCGCGCACCACGGCTCGACCGGTTTCCCGTTCGCCTCGCCCTTGGCGACGACGTACACGTGAGAGTATCCGTTTTCGCGTAATTCCTCGCTCGGCCCATCGCCTTGCTTCGGCAAAATCGTCTTGCGCATCAACCATCGAAGCGGCGCGGTGACGAAGGCGACGCCGAACAGACCGAGCCCCGCGGTGCCGAGAATCGCGTGTCTCTTCGATTTGCACAGGTCGCTCTCGTCGTACACAAACTTTTCACCGTACCGTTCGGGATCGAGCGAATACGAACGCGCGACGACCTTGGTGTTGATTCCCGCCATGATTGACGGCATGGTCCACGATTTCGTGTCCTCGTCGTACTTGTACGTGCTCTGCGGCGACGGCCAGCGCTTGAGCGCCTCGACGTCCGGTCTCGCCGGCCATCCGCCCGGGGCATTCGCGAGATAATGCGGATTCCCCATTCCGCGCGTCTCTTTCTTCGGCTTGCTCAAAAGGTTCGCCGCGGACGCAATCGTCCCGCCCGAGACGCCGCCTCTCGCCCGTCCCGCGTGTCCGCTCGCCAGCGTACACGTCGCCCCTCGAACGCTCGCTCGCACCGCCGCCGCCGCCTGACTCGCCCCCAGATCCCACGGCACGCTATCGTACCCACAGCACGACACGCTCACGCACCCGTTCGCGACGCACGTCTCGTGACACGCCTCCGCCACGCGTCGCGCGAACCGCGCCTCGCCCGTGATATCGCAGTAATCCGTCCCATTTCTCGCGCACGCCTCCGCCAATCGCAACGGCGTCTCATCGTCCGCGTCGAACGGTCCCGCGAAGGACAACACGCACGACGCGCTCGCGCACATCGCCTCGCGCGCCGCCGCCGTGGACGCGTCGACGACGTCGAACACCCCACCCCCCTCGCGCGCCGCCACCGCGCGCACGCGCGCCGAGTTCCGTCCCGCCAACGCCACGCGCTCCGCGCCCCCCCGTGCGCGTCGCGCGCGGGCGTAGCGCACCGCGAGCGCGCCCGTGAATCCACTCGCGCCGTAAATCACCACATCGTACGTTCGCCCCTCGCGCGTCGCCCGCCGCGTCTTCTCGCCCGCGTCAACGCGCGCACCGCGTTCGCGATCCATCCGCGCGCGCGCCCCCGACGCGCGCGCACCGGTGTGCCGCCCGCGCGCGCGATACGACGCCATCATCGCGCGCGCGAATCATCATCATGGGATTCGCCCGACGCGGACGACGGTTTCGCGACGCCGCGCGAGGCGACGCGTCGACGCCGCCGACGCCGACGCCGACGCGACCGTCGGACGCGACCGCGGGCGCGCGGGCGAGCGCGGGCGCGCGCGCGATCGTCTCGAGCGGGCACGGAGACGTCGACGCGATGCTCGGCGGTGGATTCGCGTTGGGCGGCGTCGCGCACGTCGGCGGCGACGGCGCGAGCGCGTCGGCGGCGACGACGTTCGGGGGGTACTTCGTCGCCGAGGGAGGGGCGACGACGGGGCATCGGGTGTGTTGGGTGCGACGGGGCGGGCGGGCGGCGGCGACGGCGACGGTGCCGCGCGCGGTGGAGACGGCGACGGCGGCGACGGCGATGGAGGCGACGGCGGCGACGGCGGCGGCGACGGCGAGTGATGGATTGCGCATCGCGTGGCAATACAGGCGGTATCTCAAGGCGGGGCGGACGCTGGACGACGCGCGCGTGGGACGCGGGTCGACGGCGACGACGGCGCGGGCGTCGTCGTCGGGGACGCGGAAAAATCTGCGCGCGCCGGATTTTTGTCACGCGTACGATTTGACCAAGCCGGCGTTGGAGGAGACGACGGCGCGCTTTGAGTTCGCGCCGTTTCGCTCGAGCGATGACGATGGCGGCGGCCGCGCGTGGGCGCGGAGTTTCGAGTTCATCGAGTCGTTCGTGCGCTCGCTCGAGGACGGCGAGGTCGGGCGGGTGTTGGTTGAGCCGGAGACGCCGAGTGATGAGTCGGAGTGGATCGAGTGCGCGAAGTTTGCGCGCGCGCTCAAAGGTTTGACGCGAGACACGAACGCGGTGGCGGTGTTGATTGTCCCGCTCGGCAGCGCGCCGCCGAAGTGGGCCGCGCTGATTCGCCACGTCGTCGATTGCGCCATTGACGTGCAGCCGCTGGACGGACCGACGAGCGAGATAGAAGCGCTACTTCCGGACCCGCACACGTGCGTCGGACTCGTCGCCGTGCGCAAGCTTCAGTTTGATGGTGCCTTGACGCCGGCGCTCACGCGCATGGACCGCGTGTACGCGCTTCAGTTACGACGGAAACGTATGGCGATCAGACCGCTCCAGTTCAGACCGGAGGAGGACAAGAAAAAGAAGAATGACGGCGGGTGCGCAGCCGTTGAAGGCACGGGATTAGACGACTTTTAGAAGCCGCGTTCGCGATGGATGGCGCGCGAATGTATTAAAAGTAGGTACCGGTACATGAATCGTAGAGTTACACTTGCGCGGGCGGCGCCATGGAATAGACGAGCACGGCGATGACGAAGAAGTGCACGATGAGAAGAACAGCCAGTGTGATGAGACACGCGGCGATGGTATCGATCACGGTCACGGGTTCGATGAACATTTGCAGTGTACACATGAAGACTTTCACGATGAACGTTTCTCGAAGATGGAAAACGCGCGTCCTCACGTTGTGCGTCTTCGTCTTTACCATCTCCGGCGGTGCGTCTTCTTCCTCGCTTTCGATGACGACTTCATCAGGCGTCTCCTCGACGTCTTCGTCGGACGAATCTTCATGCTCGCTATTCCCGCTCGCCGGGCTGGGAATGTACGTTCGCGTCTCAAAACGCTTCGCAGGCGTAAACTTCACTCCCGTCCTCTTCATGGACTTGATCGATTGCTTGAGTGCCGACGGCGGAGGGACTTTGAGGGCCGATTGCAACTCCGTCGCTGGAGCTTGCTGATGGTGCACCGTGACCGTCGGGGGCGGCGTTACGCTCGCCGCTTCCTGTTGCGCCTTGCTCCCTAAAACGTCCAACAAGTATGCTCGCGCATCGTCATCGCAAATGAATAGCACGTCGTCCCGTCCTCCGTCAAGGATGAGTTTGATGGTCACGTACTCGATCGACGTGATTCCCCAAAACAACGCGCCATCCAAGCTCTCATGAATCTCCTTTGCGCACTTAAGGTCGACCCGACCGATGCGCTCCATGCATTCTTCCGCAATCGAGCACGCTTTTTCGTCATACTTGAGCGAATCTATGTACCGATATTCCTTGCGTCGCACGAGCTTGCGAAGTGGCGACAAAATCCTCCCCCGCGTGCGACTGGGCGGGGGAGTTGCAGCCTCTTTGGGCTGCTCAGCCTTCAACTCCTCCTTCGCGATGGCATCCTCCAGAACCCTTTTCGCCGGCCCGAGGACGACGTAAGATAATTCTCCTACGCCTCCGTCGGCGATCATGCGAAGTGAACGCAGTTCAATTTCAGTGACTCCCCAATGTGAACCACCGTCCTGTGCGCTGGCATACATCGCCGTCGCGCACGATGCGTCAATCTTTCCGAATCGATGCATAGCGACGTCCGCGATGTAGCATATTTTTTCGTCGTACTTGACGTGATCGATGACGCGATATTGCGGTGGACGACCCAAATTGCTCAATCTCGCCAGCGCGCGAGCGAGTCTTCGGCGCTTGTCCACCGACATGAGCACCTCCGGTCCGTGCTCCTCCTCAGCCTTGATGAGCGCGTTCAGATGCGCGCGCGCGTCGGCGTCTACGTTAAATTTGTAGTCGACTCCAGTGCCACCGTTGAGGACCATTCGAAGCGTCTCCAATCCCGCTGGAGTGAATCCGTACCCTCGACCCGTGGATGTGACGCTCAATTCCATCGCACGCACGCACGCCAGGTCAACTCGACCCAATCTTTCCAAACTCTCGTCCACGATGGCGCACGCCGCCTTATCGTACCGCGTTCCATCGATTTTTCGAATCTCCGGCGACGATACGATCGAAGCCGCGCCCACCGCGACTCTTCGAGTCAACCGCTCCATCATCGTCAATTTCCTTCGCTTTGCCGGCGGCGGCGCGCTCGTCGTCTCTTCCTCATCGTTCGTCTCACCAGCCGGATCGAACCGCGACGATAAATTCCTCTTCGTCCCCGTCTTCGTCCCCGTTCGCGGTGAGAACGCGTCGTCATCGCTCGCGTCACCGAACGCTTCTCTCGTCGCCGCCGTCAACCACCGCGCCGCATCCGCCTCCACGTCCACGTTTCCACCGTACCCTCGCCCACCACCGTTCGCGATCGCCCGAAGCGTCGACGCCGTCGCATCGTCCGAAGCACCCCGCTCGCCTCCGCGCACGAGTTCGAACAGACGTTCCGCTCGCGCGAGCGTGAGCGGTGGTTTCTCGCGCGTTTTTGAATTTTGCACTTTTAAAACCATTCGCAACGCCGCCACCACTCGTGCGTCTCGTCGCGCCGTCGACGCGGTCGCGCGCGCGGCATCGGCAGACGCGCGCGTCGTTGCACCCGCACTCGCGCGCGTTCGCGGCGTTCGCGGCGGCGTCGAGCGCCGAGGGGACGACGGTGACATGCGTCGAGCGTCGAGGTGTGAAGACGAAACGTCATCTTTCCCCTGACTCGCCGGGCGGCGTCGTCGAGCGAACGAGCGAACGAGGGGATGCGCGGAGCGTTACGGCGATGGTGCGTCCTCGCGCGATTACGATGCGTGATGTGTCGTCATTATCATCCGCCAGCGGCGCGGCGTGGGCGCGGGCGCGACGGCTGGGGCGACGCGCGCGCGGCGGCGGCTCGGCCGACGGGCGCGCTCGCATTCGTCTCGGGCTCTAGATGCTCCGCCTTTAAAGCCTCGATGAGACCCTCTCGGGCGGCTTCGTTTCGCTTCGCGTTGACTTCGTCGAGGTCGATCGCGTTCGCGCCTCGATTCTTGCACGTCGGGTTGCACATCAAGCCGACGCAGTTGTCGACGAGCTTGATGCGCTTATTCTTGAACACCCACTCGGCGAGCGCCTTGTGATGGGACATTCCGCCGACGACGATATTGTCGAAGTCGGTGTGCATGTAGCACGATGCGGCAAAAAGCCCCGCGGTGTTGTGATTCATCACGGGAGCGAGATGCTCTCTCATTCTCTGTCCCCAATCGAGCGCGAACTGCACCGCCGTTGAGCTCGAGAAATCGCCGCTAAAGTTGTCGTGCAAGTGCATGACAACCGAGTCTGTGAGGGCCTGAGAGAAGAATAAGGGTGTTCGAATGGTGGCAAATGAGTTTTCAGCCACCGCGCACGACCACGGTTCGTTCCCATGCCTCTGGACGCACGCCCGAGGGAGCGACTCGTCCGCTCGCCAAAAGTCAATGTACCGCTTAAACGAGGCGCTATCCCACGGGATGTACTTTTCGTCCGCCGCGATCTCGGTGCCGTTGTGAAAGAAGTGGAACCCAGCGAAGGGTGCTCCCATAATTTTCACCGTACTTCGCGCCTTTGTTTCGAACTTCTCACGAATCAGACTCGCCCACTTGTCCACCTGCGCAATCAACCCAATGCCCCCGGCGCTTCGCCCGGCCAACACTATGACGTCGGCGTCTCCCATTCCGTACGACCGAACGAGCTCGCTCAAGACGGCCTCAACGATGTGCGCGCCGGAGTGCCAGAATCCACCCTCGTCCGCCTCGGTTGCGCGTCCCATGTACGCGTCTCCCGAGCAGTACGCCACCGTCGCCATGTTCGCTCGAACAAAAGGTAACTCCATTCCCTCCTCGTCTCTCGTCACAGCCTGAATTCCTTTATCGTACACCATCTCATCGGCCACGAGTTCGCTCGATCCCCGAGCGGTACCGGCGCGATCGGAGCAATCCACCGCGTCCACGCACTCACCCCCGCCCTGCAACATCACCACCCACGTTCGGGACGTCGAGTATCCGTCCGCGGCGTCCATCTCTCCATCACCCCCACCGCGCGTCTCCCCTTCGTTCACGCTCCCCTTCATCCGTTCGGGCGCTAAATTGACGTAAAACACCCCCGGGGTGCCGTCCAAACACCTCGCGTTCGGATACCGTTCCAGACTCAGTTCCGTCTTCTCCGCCGTCACCCTCCGCGCGAGCGCGCGTCCCGCGCCCCCCACCCCCACCCCCATCCCCAGCGGCCCCGCTCGAGCCTCCAGCGCATCGTACACTTTCGATCCAATCTTCCATCCGAGCATCCCACACACCGCGCTCGCGACGACGAGCGCCAACGCGCCCGCCGTCGCCTCTCGCCCGCTCCGC